AGCAAGCTGTCAGGGACGGCAGTGCGCGCGCAGTCCTTTGCTTTGTCTGCGGGGGAGGAGCCGAGGAGGAGAGAAACGTCCGAGAAGACCCTCGCGCTCGCAACTCACGCGTGCCTCGATCGAGACCAGGGCATCATCCCCCGGAACGTTCTTGCACCAGAGCGGCCATGTGTCCCTCTCCTCTCGCATGCGCATCATCGACTGAAGGAACCAAGCAAGGTCTGGACGTCTGGACCTACGGTCAGCTCCTGAACACGTCGCCACATCGTATCGTACAGTTGGGCTCAGATCGATGCAACACAGCTGTTGAGTGGTCGACCGATGACATGGTATGTGACAAGCCAGTGGACGCTTGGGGGGATGGATGGTTCAGGATCCGAGAGAGAGACAGAGAGAGTGAGTAGGGGCATCGAGATGGTGGGAGAATGACGTCCGTTGATGGATGTGATGTTCGGCCATCGGGGACCTGGAGCGGCGTCAGAGGCTGAGAAGGGCAGCTTGACGTCCCGTGATTGGCGTGTACGACTGGCTAACGGTACGAGGATCAGAAGTCGAGTTAACTCCGTGGCGCACTTGAGCGCCCGCCAGTGTTGCGGTTTCTGGAGCATGCTTGGTTCTTGATCGGACTTTAGGACCCGTGTCGGGCCTGGCATCTGCTTGGGCGGCCTGCTTTGGCATCCTGCTCTGGCAACAATCCTGGTCAGCTCGGCAAGACAGGCCTGGCAGTAAGGCAGCTCCAATGTCAAAGCAAGCGCGAAATGGCCGGAGAATTCCTCGGTCGTAGTGCCACGATGCCAGCCCGTCCGCTGGGGAACCCGGGTACCAGAGGGTAGGCCAGAGCCACGATGTCTGCTAGTGCATGTGCCAGTCTTTCGCGACAAGGCATGTTATGTTGTCTTCGCCGGGACGAATGGGATGGCAGATACCGTGAGCATGCCGCACCCGATCGCGAGATCTCTGCCTTTGCCGTGATGGATGCGACGCGAAAGAGTATCGTTCGACATGACTCGGTTCCTGAGCAACGAACGCGTGACTGGACAAGAAGGAGGGCAAGCAAGGTAGAGGAGAGGGAAGAATACAAATCAATCCTTGTCCCGTACCAGGTACTTCCCGGCCTCGTACCCGCCCTGTTCTCCTGTGGCGCCACTCATCATTCCGCCTTTGGGCGAGGCGCAGCCCGACGCCTCAAATCGACGAGGGAGGGAAGGGGGGGCTTGAGGGGGGGGGGGGGTCTGCAACCGCCACAGCTATCGATGAGTGACAGACAAGGGCGCAAGAGCGAGAGAGAGCCTTTTCCTTCACGATCCACAAGCACGATGCAAGCCCTATCGATATAGAATTTGCCTCCCAAGCTGATGGCAAGTAGGCACGAGGTGAAAGCCAAACTTGTTGGACGATCCTCTGCGTTGACCAAGCACTGCATCCTGATGAACACATCTTACTAAGGTGCTTTGGTAGGCACTTGTACCTGCCTCCGGACAGTCAGTGCTGGCTTGGTGGTGCCTGTTTCTGAGGCGCAAACCCAGCGTCCCCCCCACCAGGGGCCTTATACTTACCTGAAAAAAGCGGCCCCTGCACCTGCCGAGCCACGGTCTATCCAGTTTGGAGCAAGGAGGCAGGTACCTGGGTACGTGCCCCCCCCCCTCCAAAAAAATCCGCTCCGAATTGGCCGGTACACGTCTTGGGAGGAAACAATGACGCTGCGGTACGGGGATTTTTGGTGTGTCCAGCACTACTCTAGAAGTACTCGTCACCCCAGCCGTTTGGTCACGACAACACAACGGCAGACAGAACAGACACAGGCCAGAGCAGGCGCGTTCCTTCACTCCTGCTTCCCGGCCAGGGTGGGCTGCCCGCCGCCGCCGCCTTCGCCTCCACCCCCCCCGTCGTACCCTGGTCGTACCTACCCTCTACTGGACGGCACCTTCCCAATACCTTACCTGCGACCATACACTTTTCTCCAGCTGCCACAACCCTTTCCACCTCGCTCCCTCAAAGCCTCCTGCTGCAACCTGATTCTCGCCCGCCATACGCGACTGGTTGATACTATTATTGTTGTCACCAACAACCGCTGCAACACGCCATCCCCTAGGAGAACAGATCTTCTGAATCTCTGTGCCTGTGCAGA